TACTAGTATTTCATAGTTTGAAAACTCGTCCTGAATATTGGTCCAATTTTAAATTCATAGTCGACATTTCAAAATTAATCCTAGCCATTTAGTTAATGTTTCTAAATTTAACTGCGGGTTTGGCATGACAATGACTTAGTCCAAATATACAAGCACCTCTGCTCAACATTTCATCTTATTTCACAACTTTGTGTGCTGTTTTACAACTTTGTACGCTGTTTCACAACATTATACAGTCACCTCATATGACGATCTGCTAATATAGGCTGCTTTACGTCTGACTTTTATTCATTTTTTTGACACTTGCAAATGCAGGGTTTGACATGCCAACAACTTCGGTCAAATATACAACTACATCTGCCAACTTTGCCCGGCGTATTATCAGCTTAAAGCCACTATGTGCCGACCGCATCAACAACCTGTTATTTGATCAATAGGGAGAATTTGCTTGAACTTGAAAAAATGAAAAAATATCCACGACTTTCTACTATAAATGATTGACATCACAGTAAGAAAGAATGCACGAAAGTTGCCTCGTATCTTTTTCATGGTTGTGATGACACCCAAAATAGCCTCCAGCGGGTTTTATCAATGGGTCTTCCATGTACTAACCATGTCCGATTTAGCTCAACTTTACACATCGGTCCATCACCTAACCACACTGCTGCATCATTAATTTTTAAAAATAACCAAAATTGGCGGTTACTTCATGCTTGTCAATGTCTTAAAATTGATATTGTATGCACAAGTAACTTTTTGAACCGACTTTTAACCTCAACATGACTGAAAGACGGTACGATAATTTAACGGCTATTTACAGAATATTTATTCACATTTTTGAACGTTTTCAAGTTCCTTCTAATTTTGAAGAACAAGTTGTTCCATGCCATTGGCACCTAGTGGGTTTTAAGCTGTTAACACAACGTGTAAAACTTTTCAAAGTTGTGCAAAGTTATTGCAAACTTGGTAGATGTATTTGTAAATATTATCTAAGTTGTTTGCATACAGAACCGCGCAGTTGTAAAGTCGAAAAATGTAATAAAACCCAGTTGAATGCAGCCTATAGATGACATGAGCTGACTGTAAATTGTAAGAAATAGCATGCAAAGTTTGAAAAGGCGAAGGAAATGTTGGTGGAGTTGCTTGTATATTTAACCTAAGTCATTGTCATGACAATCCAGCAGTTAAATTTCGGAAACTTCAAATAAATGTTTCGAGAATGCCTCATATAGAAGCAGATTATCACAACAGCCAATCAAAAAATCGTCAACAAACTGCTTACAAAGTTGTGAAAAGCGATTGCAAAGTTGGTAATTTCATTCGGGATCGTTACCTGCGATATCATTAACAAATCCCATAGTTAAATGTTCGAAAATGAATAAATATTTCGTAAATTGCTGTTAAATTACCATTACGTAGGGTTACCCCCCCCCAAGTATGTAGAGGTCATAGGTCAATTCTAGAAGGTACTTGTGCAAGTGATATCGATTTTAAAACATCCAAAAACATGACATAGCCATCAATTCGTCTTAAATTTAAATAATCCATGCAGCTGTGTGGTTAGATGACCTACAAATGTTTAAAGTAAATCACAATCGGACGTGGTTAGTACTTGCATGGGAGACTCTCTCAGTAAACGAGCTGTTGAATTTATTTAGATTTTTTCATCACACCCACGGAAAAGATATAAGGCAACGTTCCTGCATTCTTTCTTACTGTGATTTCAATCATATATAGTGGAAAATCGTATAATTTTTGTATCTTTTTTAATTAATGGCAAGTTTTCAAATTCCCTCAAAATTTTCAAGAACAAGTTGTTGATGATGTCAACACGTAATGGGTTTTACGTTGTTAATGCAACGTGCAATGTTGTTCGAAGTGATTGCAAAGTTGTGCAAAGTTATTGCAAACTTAGTAGATGTATTTGTATATATTATCTAAGTTGTTGGCATACAGAAACACGCAGTTGTAAAGTCGACAAATGTAATAAAAGTAGTTGAAAGCAGCCGATGGATGTTCACATGAGCTGACTGTAAATTGAAAGAAATAGCGTGCAAAGTTGGAAAAAGCAAAGGAAATGTTGGTGGGGTTGCTTTTATATTTAACCTAAGTCATTGTCATGACAACCCTGCAGTTAAATTTCGGAAACTTTGAATAAATGTATCGAGAATGCCTCATATAGAAGCAGATTATCACAACAGCCAATCGAAAAATTGTCAACAAACTGCTTACAAAGTTGTGAAAAGCGATTGCAAAGTTGGTAGTTCCATTCGGGATCGTTACCTGCGATATCATATTAACAAGTCCCATAGTTAAAAGTTCGAAAATGTGAATAAATATTTCGTAAATTGTTGTTAAATTGACGTAGTATCACTACAAGTTTGTAGAAGTCATAGGTCAATTCTAAAAGGTACTTGTGCAAGCGATATCGACTTCAAAAACATTTTAAAACATGAATTAGCCGCCAATTCGTCTTAATTTCAAATAATGTATGCAGCTGTGTGGTTAGGTGACTGACAACTGTTTAAAGTAAATTACAATCGGGCGTGGTTAGTAATTGCATGGGAGACTCCCTGAGTAAATGAGCTGTTGTTGTTTTTTTCATCACACCAATGGAAAAGATATAAGTCAACGTTCCTGCATTTGTTTCTACTGTGATTTCAATCATTTATTGTGGAAATCGTGTAATTTTTCTAACTTTTTTCAATTTATGGAAAATTTTCAAATTCCACCTAATTTTCAAGTACAAGTAGTCGATGCTGTCGGCACGTAGTGGGTTTTACGTTGTTAACGCACCGTTAAAAGTGATTGCAAAATTATGTAAAGTTATGGCAAAGTTGATAGACGTATTTGTATATATGATCTAAGTTGTTGGCATATAAAAAACGCGCAGTTGTAAAGTCGACAAATGTAATAAAAGCCAGTTGATCTCATTACATCAGTCCAAACTTCTGCTACAGATTCTTCATCTTTATTACCACTTCTATCTTATATGTCACTGACCTCAGTTTCTTTACTGCTACCACAAGTAGTAACCTAATAAAACAACCTATTAACATGTGTATTAATTTTAATTTGCAATAAACAAACAAACCTGGAAAATACCAATCTTTCTTACATACTACCCCACAAATTCCTGATACAGTTTGCAGAAATAACCATGCTTATATCCAGGAGATTATTGTCCACGCATTTCAGACAGAACATCTTCATTTTTAGTCAAACAAGCAATTCGAGGACAACACACACTGCATCATGAAATTGTGTGTCCAGTTGCACAACAGTTACATAACAGTTATGAAGCATAACCGTTCATAACCGTTCATAACCGGCGGATTATGCGGTAACCGTCAGCGGAATCACTTCGTTTGTCGTACGTACTAACAAACGTAAATTTCTGAAAATTTACGATTTCCGTTTAATGTTTACAC